CCATATTCAATCCACTACTTTATCCCCTGAAGCTTTTCAGGTTCATTGGGCTATAGCCCATTGTTCAAAGTCTAGCATTATTATTATTGTTCTGCAAACATTTCTCTTAGGTTTTTAGTTTTTACTGTATTTGGTCAGGTGAAGCAAAAAAACAAAAAGAACATGTTCCTTACCACGTAACATTTCATTTCTGATTTTAAATTTTAACCTATAAAGCTAACTATAGGATTGCCACTGCTCTCAAAGTCAAAATACCAGGCAATTCTGGCCATCTGAGATATAACGTCTCCCAAAAACACCATTCTGGGTGGTCACAAACTAACTTCAAGGGCATTATTTCCCAGAAGGAGCTGCCTCCTGCTGGAAATGATGGGTATTGGGTTTTCCCAAGCACACCTCAGTCTTTCCTGAGTAAGAGCACAGCCAGACTAAAACAAACAAGTGGGGAGAAAGAAAAAAATAATTGCTAACAGTTGACCACTGAAGAGAGAAAGTATCAGTATATCATTATTCACACACAGCAGTGTGAAGCCATTTAATGCAGTGACAAACATGTTTAGTTTCAGGCTATGTAAAGCAAGGCAAAATGATTACATTCTCAACGATTCCCACTTACAATGGTAAAGTTAAATTATATTCAGATACACTATTTGGTAAAGAATAAAAAAAGATTCATATCAAACTTTCGATTCTAAAAGGATAAGCTTCAGGTATAAAAATATTTATGTAAAAAAGCCATGTAAATAAGGAGTTTCCACTGACTTACTCTGCATAAATGGTATGTTACTTAATAAATCAAAGTCGTTTCTGAAAAGAATGTTTTCAAGTATTTAAAAAATATTTATAGGTATACAAAATGTCCTTAGTTTTGCTTCCCAATTTCTCACAGATATTTGACCATTCCTTACTAAAACCTATTCAATTATATACTTACTATGTATTAATGAGGTCGCTATCTTCCTTCTCACCTCAGAATTTCCCACATTTCACACTCTTTCCTCTAAGCTGGGAGTGAGAAGCCACTTCCCTTCCGAAGCTGAGCAGGCCACCTCGGTGCTCCTCAGTGCCCTCTGCCCTCCACGGGGCCTCCGTCCTTCCCTCAAGGCACACCAGCCTGGTGCGCGCCTCCCACAGGAACCACTTCCTCACTCTCTGGTGACCTGACTTCATGCTCTCTTCTTTCCACTCACGTTTTCTTCCTCTCACTTGGTCCAACTTCTCAAATCCACGTGCATCATTTCCTCAGTTCTACTGATGCCAATTTCAAAAATTCATTTTCCTTGATTTCTAAGCGACATATTAAAACTGTTTCTTTGGTTTTCACAATGCTGCAATACCCTAACTCCTTTCATGACACCCTTCCCTTTATCAACACAGATGTCCCCAGTCGTCTGCTCTTCTCCGCTTTCTCTCTGGAGGTGGGGGCACCTCCCCGTGCCTGTGACTGCTGCGCCTCTCAGCCTGGCCACTGCCTGGGGATGAACTCTTCATCGGTAACTGTCTGCTGGAGGGGGCCTGAGAGCCTCGAAGTAAACAAGGCCAAACCCGAATTCACATTTCTCTGCCCCAAGACTGACTTCTATACTTAACTTCTGATTTTTCTTCCATCCTCCTAGTCACCCATTTTTAAGATTTCCAAATCATCTTGGGCTCCTTCTCAATTCTCCCCTCCAAAATAAAACACTCACTAAATTCTGTCAATTATAACATTTCTCACATCTGCCATTCCCCCATTCTTATAGCCACTATTCCAGTTCAGGTTTTAACCTCTTCATAGGCAAACTGCTCACCGAGCTATAGCCTTCCCCACTGGCCATTTTCTCATGTACACTGAACACAGCCATTAGAGCAGTTTTTCTAAAATACCACTGGACCATCACATCCTTTCTCAAAAGTCATTTAATGACCCCACTATCTATCATATAAAACGCAAATTCCTTAGCCTGGCAGTCAGACCTTCTCCATCAGTTTTCTTTTAGTTGTTTTTCCAGATACTTCCCACTACTATCCACCCCAAATACTTTGTTTAAAAAGGCTAAACCAATACACAGTCTCAAGATTAACATTGCACATGCCTTCGTTTACATTCCTCTCCACATCCCCTGTTCCTACCTACACGTTTTTGAGACTAGTTTTGGGAACTCGACAAAAGCATGAACTCTGGAGCCAGAATTTGGGTTCAAATTCCAAGTCTGCCCTTTATATAGTGACTTTGGGCAAGTTACTTAACCTTTCTGTACCTTGGTTTCCTCCTTTACAAAATGGAGATTTTAATAGTACCTATCTTGTAGGAATACTGTGAGGATTAAGAAATTGAATACATTTAAGGTTCTTGGCACACAGTAGTATTATACACATATTAGCAATTATCAAGGTTTTCAAAACTCAACTGACACTCTTCCATGAAACCTTTCTTGATAGCTCCAACCCACAGTGATCTTCTCTTTTCTGTGTTTCTGAAACATTTACCGTAAACCACAAAACTTTAAATATAAAACAGGGTGTCTCAATAGTGGCACTGTTGACAATTTAGCCAGGTAAATCTTTGCTGCAGAGGCTGTACTGAGCATTGTAGGATGTTTGGCAGCATCTGTGGCCTCTACTCAGCAGATGCCAATAGTAACCCACCCCTTAGCTGTAAAACCAAGTATGTTTCCAAACATTGCCAAATGTCCCCTGGGAGGCAAAAGTGTCCAGTTGAGAATCATAAGTATAATACAAGACAAAATACATGAAAACACTCAAAGCAATATACAAGGTTCAAGTATATTACACTTAGCACTTATCAAATATACTAGTTTTTTTAAATGGCTTGACATTCATATGTGCTTTCACTATCCAATTAGTTTTAATATCCTTTAGTACGGAGCTCACGTTTTATTTATTCATTTCCACAATCACACCCAATCGAAGGCCTTGGACACTGTTGATTGATAGATAGGATATAGGTAACCTGAGACGGACATAATGAACTGGGAAGAGCATGAAAATTGCAATGAGATGATCAGATTGTATCTGAGAGTTGCACTTATTTTAGAGCTTTGGGCAATTCATTAAAGTTTATGAGCCTCAGTTTTCTGATCTGTAAAATGTAACATCTACATAGGCTGGCTATGATGTTCAAATGTAATCAGGGATGTGAAAGAACCAGGTATACACTGCAGAAATACACATAGAGTCTTATGTGTAAAAAGACAAAAATAACTGTTATACCATAATAGCTCCTTTATCCAGAATCATCCAGGACTTCCTTCATAAGCTTATTTTCTAGGTAACTGAAGCTTATGCTTTTAAGAGTCTAACTCTGAAATTTACACTACTTTGATGAAAGTCTTCTGCTTTTAGAAGTACTGTATATATTCTTCTTTCTTCTAAAACAAAAGACACTGAATATAATTTAATTCTTCCTTATTGACTCTGGGCCATTGTAATAAACATTATCATTCTAACACACAGCTTCCTCAGAGATTACCACGTATGTGATGCTGCTGATCTCTTTAATAAATAGTCAGAGGTACGGGGCCTCATTTAGTTCCACTGCAGTCCTCATGCCCCTTCCGCTGCACTTTTCTCTATGGATTAGAAAACTAAACAATTAAGCTTGTTGAAGTGGAATCTAAAATGAGCAAATACAGACTTTAAACAAGGGCTCCAGAAGCACTCCTCTGACCAAAGTTCTAAGTGGGAAACTTCAGGACATCTACTCTGGCTGCTCAGAAGCATTTTTACTCGCTTCTTGGGTCTCATGGATGTTCTGGATAATGGAAACTGCTGGGAAAGCAACTTCTGTCCCTACTCTAAATATGTACATACAGAGACAGTACCATGGTGTAATTATAACTAACCTATTTATATTTGTAAAATCTTCTGAGTGCTTCCTGATGCCACTCAAAAAATACCTATATATGCCTCATTGAGTTAAAGCTACAACAGAGCAATCATACCATGTGAAAGAAAAAGAGCCAGGGTTCATGTGCTAAGTCCCATACTAAGCAAACTAAAAAGAAAAGAAAAATATCAAATTTCCTTCAGAACCTCTTGACTGAATTTTTTCAAGAGTTATATGCATGTTTGCTCTTCTACCTGAACTGATACACATATGAAAGGTCAGTATTTTCTAGTTTGAAAATTGATTCACCTTTAGTTTTAAGTGAACATTAACTTTCCAGGCAAAATGGAACATTTAATAACACTTAAGGAGAAAATCAGAATCAAATTGAAAATGGCCTTGTGAGTTAGAAGCATTTTGTTCTTATGCTTGTAAATTATATGGGTCACAGAAAAATCTCTTCCCTGACACTTCTAGAACACTTGTATATTTTTAGATAGATAATATTATATACATATAATACAAATAATAAAAACAAAGTCATCTTTAATGAGTCATGATAATTTATCCCTGTCAGATGTTATAAAACATATAAGATGGCGGGGGGGG